TGCTGGTGCTAGTGCTGGTGCTGCTCCTGTAGTAGGTGGGATGCTGACGGTGTCGCCTTTGTTCCTTCTTGATGCTTCGTAAGATTTGCACAGCAGGCGCACAGCAGAAGGTGTTGGAAGGACATGTTTCGACAATGCAAGCCATTTCAAGAAGTAGCAGTTTTAGGATGCAGGAGGTTACTGTTGCGTGGCCTAGGCTGGCATTCAACGCTCGTGTTGGAGAGATTAACATGGTGAACCCGCGTGAAGTGATTGGCATCTACACGCAGTGTGCTGGAAAGTCTGGCTCGGCAACCGTGTTTGGGCTTTCCGTGCCGTAGGGAGTTTGTGAATAGGTGCTGGGCCACCACGGACCCACAGACGTTTTTTTGGTTTGCCATGTTCAGCTATTGTTGATTGATCTTATCAGGTCTGCGGCCCGCGATATAGTGTGTTGGAGTATGGTCCAGCTTATGCCACGGCTTCAACAATGTTGCCAGAGGCCACATGGGAAAGTAAAGCATACCTGGAATTGTAATTGCGCTTGACAACTCTTCGCCTGGACTGCTGCCCCAGGAAAATCATACTCAGCTGGACCGCGTTGAGATGCTTCCTTGGCCGCAGGCACGCTCCTTGCCTGCAACTCCGTCTGGCACTGTCGTGCACGACATCTGGAACTCCACGTTTGTTCTCCACTGAACAAGGCATGCTGAATTCCCTGGGGCTGCGGGCACTTAGCCAGGAAGCTGTAGAGGAGGCATGACTTCTCCCTGCAAACTGGGCAGTCGAAGCGGCCGTCCTCTGTGGCATCCTGCCCGCCAGGTGCTGGAGTTGCAGCCGACCAGGAGCTTTGCGGAGGGCGGCCTTGTCGAGGACGACATGTGGAGGGAGTGGGTGAAATTTGACTGGTTGCTGCAGATTCGTTGATTGGTTTAATGAGCTGGGAAACCTTGTGTTTCCGACGCATCCCCAAAAAACGCCCTGAATCATCCGCACCTGAGGCCCGCAAAGATCCTTCCACGGAAAAACTGACATTTTGGAAGCTCTCCTGCAGGAGCTCATGCAGTTTGGCATACGTGCTTGGACAAAGGACCCCGCATGGCCTATTGAACGCTCGGGACAGTTGCACCTGTTCTTTCGGCCTTTCACGCTTTGGGATCTTTCGGGAACGGCCTACTGCATCTTAGCTGGCTTGTGATGACATAGTCAGAGAGACACGGGCCTAGCAACGCCTTTGAGACTGAATGTAGCTCTCGATTCTCAGGTCAGGCCAATTGTGTGCCAGTAACTGGCATTTCATGTAGCGACGGCCGCGGGCGTTGCAGCCTGAGGTTCACTTTGAGCTGTGTAAGACTACGTGTGAGGCTGCATGATGCTGTGCGGAGCGTTGGTCGACCTGAGGCGAGTCTGCAGACTGTCAAGTGCGGCCTATTGTTAGGACGCCTTTCGAGAATGTTGTGCCCATGCAGCGGAACACGATGACCATCACATATCCCGCACAGATGGAGCCAATACCAGAGGCCCGCGGAGACGAGGCGCACTTGCTGAACGTCTCGGAGCTCAGGCTGCCACGAGACGGCTTCTTCACCTTGCAGATGTTGGCAGAATATCTTGATAGTGACGGTCTCAACCCCTCAATGACCTTTGTGTCTCCTTCAATGCGGAGGATTCCAGTAGCGGGTACCACGACTGGACGCATTGTTGTTGACGGTCAAACTGGCAATGGGCCTCGTCCATTCGCATTCGAGCGGGAAAACGTCCTCATTGTTCGACTCATGATCGGCGTCACACTGCGAAGTCCAGCCGTGGATGAACGCCTGGAGGTGGACTCGGAGCTTGAGGAGAATGCCACAGAGTCCTTCAGGACTGTTCCTCGTCCCATGGTGCAGATCCTTCTACCTCCGGATTATACATGCAGTGTAATCGGGAATGGCACGGCTGACCCCGACGGGACATCAGACATGTTCCTTCGAGACTTGAATGCAGATGGGTATGCCCCTTGGCTAACGTGTTTCGAGTGATTTCGCGGTGGAGAGCTTGACAAGAATGCTTCAGACTTTAGATTTGATCAGCTTCGAGTATGCGAGCAATGCAGTGATGAAATCAAGGTAGACAATCCCATGGGCACCATACTCAGCGGAAGCTGGTCCCACGAGGGGCCAGTTTGCTCGTTCACGCTCGACAACTGGGCAGCAGTCTTTGCCAGGCAGATTTTCTACGTTCGGCTGTCTGTGAACAATCCTCGACAGGCTGGATAGTCCAAGAACAACTTAAGCTTAACCTTCTCATACTTCATCAGACCTCTCCGCACCTTACGCATCCGAAGGAAGGTGACCTAAGACTCTCAACGGCAGAGCCTGTAATACTCGGCACTACGTGCTTGGTATCACGCAATACAACTCGAGTGCCAGAAGTAGACTACGCCTACATGCAGCAGGAACTCACTCAAGGTTTGGCGACTAACTGAATGCAGATGCATTTGTTTCATCAGAACTTTTCGGCACCTGGGCCGAGACTAAAGCTACTGGTCAGGGCAATCATGCCCTCATCCACCCCCCTTTCACATCAGGGGAGGGCGGGCGGGAGTTCGAAGATCCAAACTTCTCGAAGTCAAATAAGTGTACCTGCACAAATAGTTGGCCTGAATGCAAGACAAAAACACACACCATGCATTACGCGGACAAAGGCATGCATGCTCGTTATGCTGTGTGATAGCCCCATGCACCTAGCCACACCAACCTTTGCAAGGGAACCGAAACGTGTCCCTCATGAGCGTGACTACATCCCCTTAATTTCTGCTTCACAGCTGCATGATACTTCGGAGGCATTAATGCGAACCGACCCCACAAACTTGTGGCAAATTAAGCTCTCTGGCGCGAACTCGACGCTGCTGGGGGGTCTGGTCAACTTCATCTCCTTGGCCGAGGACTGTCTGAGTTGTTAAAGTTAAAGGCTTCATGTTCATTGTGAGCTATCAATGTGGAGATTCGAACTTGTGTTTGCTGCGCTGAAAAGGCGCACGGCATTGATCAGAGTCCACATGTTTGAAAGCTACCCCATGCCACTTTCATTATGGGGATAGCAAAAACTGACCAACAGACAGAGAGGCATGTTGGTTACGTTGTTCCAGTACGATCCAACTAGAACAACTGCTGGCTGGGAAAGAGATTATGCATTAATGTAGGCTTTTGATGGTCAAGCTTTGCAAAACCCATATGCAAAGTTGATGGAGCTGCGCCAAATCTCAGGGTGTATGTAGAGTGCAGCTATGCAAGCCGATTCTTGCCCGCTTTGATTCAAAACAGTGCACTGAGAGACTCCCAGCAGCTTGCCACCCTGCAAGGAGGTGAATTTGCCTGGTTGGGTCGGCCACTCGGCGTAGCAACATCCAGCAATGGCGAGCCTGAACAGTTGCATACCCGGGAATTCTTTTGCTTGTGGGTAGCTTGCTTTTGCCCGTGAACCTTTCCCTTCTGCTTCAACCGTGTGCCAAGCTGTGCAGGAAACCTGGCGGTTCTGACCCCACTGGAAGGAGAGTCGCTTCAACCGTCCAATCTTTCTGCTGGAGCGACAAATGAGCTGAGTGTCTTTTTTCAGGCGTGCGGAGATTGAGCCAGCAGTTAGTAGTTTCTTCAGCTATTGCTTGCGCTTTCTATGTTTATCTTGCCCTTGAATGTTCAGGTAATCCACGCAATGCCCCGATTTTCTTACATCCTGCTGGACGCGCCGGATGGTTTTGATTTCACCGACAACTGCAGTGTTGGCTCTCTTGCGGATTCGTATTACGTCGACTGGGATGGACTGCCGTGGGGTGAGACGGTCTTGGGTCCCCGTGCCCTGACAAGCTCTCTTGGTGCGGAGGTGAACTGCACTACTGACAACTGGAAGCGAAGTGTGCTGTCCCCTCCAGCAACAGCAAATTTCACCAGAGCTATTCTCCGCGTGGGGCGCACATTGATCTCCAACAAATACTATGCCTTCCGGGTTCGTGTGATTAATGCAGCTCAGTGGGATGCATCGCATCACGATGACTGGCGCATTTGGGTTCAGAGCCCTGAAGGTTACATGGTGGATGGCTCGAAGTACACCATCCAGTTCAACTCCGCTCGGATTGACACGCTTCCGCAGTCCTATTGGGACAAGAGCTGGGGTGTATATCAAGACCCAATGCGTTTGCCGTTGTCACTGGATTTCGGCCAAAGCCTTTTGCTCCCAACATCAGTATTTGATATGAGCACCTTGTTGACAGTGTATCCTCTTACACCCAGCAGTGATGGGCAACTCATCAACGTGAGAATGCTCGCTCCGGTGGGCTATGTCTGGGTACCTCACGTTACGGAAGGTTGGAGAGGCTATATTCCTAACGTCACATGTGAGTTCTGCGAGCTGATTGTTAGTCCACAAGTCAGGCTATTTAATGAGCTGATTCTACCGGACCTTGTGATGCGCCTTGGGCACCTTTATGGGTTTCAGGTGCGCGTAAGAGTACCTGAGCGACCGCCCACTCGATCTTTGAATGCCTTTTACCTGGAGATGGGCTTTGATCCCGGCAACTTCAACTTGGACCGAATGCAGGCTGTCATGCTGCAGCCTCCAGAGCTGCGTGTTGTTTCCCAGGCAAGGGTGGATTCCTTGTGCAACCTCGCGGGGTATGCAGACAACATCATGGAATTCCACGTGCACGTTGCATCTCCTCTTGAGGTGACTTGGCACTTGCTGATCTTGCTCGTACCTTCGACTTATGTGTACACCGTCACTGCTGAGTACTGAGGTGAATTCGGGCTTCCTTTTCGCAGGTGATGAACTTACAAGGGGGACCTTGCTTCGCTGTTGGCCTGAAGTCCTGCTGGGGCCGATTGTGGACGCTACGAATGGAATCTGCAGCGTAACGGAGAACATTGTTACCTCCTTGCTCCTCGTCGGCTTGCGGGGTTTACGCTGTTTCGCTGGAGTTTCCGTCATGTGGTGAAGCCTCAGTGATCTCAGTGCAGGCCGGAGATTCTTCTGTACGTGATTCGTGGTACTTCTCCAGCAGGCGGGCAGCCGTCTGCTCCTCTCCAGAATCTTCATTGGGTTTAAGTGCTGGAGCCCTGTTCGCCTTTGCAGGCATGCGAGTGTTCCGCTTCCGTCGAACTCGCAATCCTCTGCAACCTACGCCTAGGGGAGGAACATGGCACTTCGGGACCTACTCGGATTTGCCACTCTGCCTTCAGTGTTTTGTGTTTTTTTTTTCTCCCGCGTCGCCTCTTGGTACCATCAGGCTGAAAACATAAGAATGTCGCAAGCATCAAAAGCCTTAGCTGAGCAGCGTTTTTTTTTTTT